GGTTCTACGTCTTTTATTCTACATGCTCTAAGAGAGTGTGATGTTGGTCAAAGGTAGCAAAATGGTTAAAAAAAAGTTGAACTCATATATATAGCCTATATATGATGTTATATGTGGATATACTGTATATATTGCTTCATTGGTAGCTGTTTTGGTTTAGCTGTATTGGTATCCGAAGACGTGGCTAAGCGATACTTGAGTCACTGTGACATTTCAGGCCAATCTAGACGACCTTTTTAAGTCGTGCAAATGTTTTTTAATTAATGACAGTCAGATTGAGGATCATTATTTGTGTAGTGTACAGCGAGCCAATCACAGTCGATGATTTTCTGGTATGTTTGAAGTTTTGGTCATACGATGACACACACTCGCACAGTGAGAGCACAGCCACGGGACGATTCCTCATATCCAGGACTTTTTTTCCTGACTGTGTCCGAACAAACTGACAAACAGCGTCAGAAATCCCTGTGTCAATAGCAGGCATGACTGCTTGATGTGTCTTCCCCCTCATGGAATGGAATAAAAGGCAGAAAATATCTCCGGCAGACCTCCAGCTGACAGAGAGAACATTTGTTGCGTAACTTGTGTTTATTGGTGATGCTGTGTGTGTGTGTGTGTGTGTGTGTGTGTGTGTGTGTGTGTGTGTGTGTGTGTGTGTGTGTGTGTGTGTGTGTGTGTGTGTGTGTGTGTGTGTGTGTGTGTGTGTGTGTGTGTGTGTGTGTGTGTGTGTGTGTGTGTTTGGCAGAGAGAGAGAACATTTGTGCTGGTGTGTCCTGAAACACTGAGATCTCTTGACAATTGTGAATTCTCACCCTGATTTAACTCATACAGTGTTTTTCACATAAATAAAGTTACCTTATTTCTGTATATATATATATATAGGCCTACACTATATACATATATATATATTATATATATATATATTTTATATATATATATATATATGAGTAATAGTGGAGTATGAGTATACAGGTAAAATAAAACCGATAAATACACAAAGTCCAAGAACATCAGAGTGTTCTCTCCACCGACTCCTCCATGCACAGTTTGATTTGTATGGTGGCATTAGCTGTGACATTTCTGCAGTACGAGAAAGTGTTTGTGTTTTCTAAAAGAGAAAAACTCCTCTTAAGTTTATTTTGAACTCTGTGTCGTTTCCCGAGCTCTTCTAAATGAAGGTTAAAGGTTCATCTGTAGCCCGTGGTGATGCACAGAGTGAAACAGTCAGCAGTATTTTGTGAACACACCCTCATGAGCAGGACTGACGCTCTCTGGTGTCTCTAACAGGGAGCTGTTAAAAACAGCACAGGGATGTGTTATTGTTGGAGGGACAATAAGGAGGCGGACCCTGAATCTCCAGCTCTTTCACTTTTCTGTGTGTGTTGATCAGTAGAGGCTTCGTGGACGTGTTAATAACAGGATCTACTCAGGATGTTTAACACAATTAATTATGAACAATGACACCCTGCAATCATCTGGTGCTGTAATGTTTCAGAGTTATTCCTGGAATGAAAAGACTGGAGACATGTTGAAATTAAAAACAAGACACTTTGGTATCCAAGGGTTAAATATATCTCTCTTTTACATGTTTTAGGTCTAAATGACTAGAAAGTACTTTTTGATTTCCTCCAGTTTACATGTTCATCCTGCAACAGTGAAACCGGCTGTAACATAAACCTTGATAGATCTATGTGTGTAAACTAATAGTTGTTCATGTCACTGACGGTGGCTGGGCCATATGACCAAAAATCACGATACAAAATGTTCATATCAGTCGATATCGAAAAATTATCACAATAAATGTTAATCATTATTTATTTCAAATTTAAAGGCTGATTTTTGCTCCTGATTGAAAGTTGAAGTAACCACATGTTTAATTGTGGTTTAATTATTCTTTATTTTCAGAGCATGACAAACTCTACTTGAACAGAGGAGCATTTCACAATCATAAGCACAGAGCACGGTGATGGAAAATGCTGATATGACAGTTTGCTACTGGCCCGGTGTTTGCTGAGTGTCCACTAACGCTCGTTTGGGACGTTCGGTCATTTCTTGCTCACAAATGGGTGATACTGTTTTAAATGGTGGAAAGGTTTGTGGTGTTGCACGTTTTAGCTGCACTTGTCTTAGATCAGGATTCTGTCATGTCCAAAATATCTCCAAACTCCTGAAGCTGAGGGTCTGTTCTTGTTGACGATGTTTTCTCCTGCTTTGAACTCAACGTTTTCTTCAGTTTCGCTATCGCTCATTTCAGCTGTGTTTCCATTCCGCTCCAAACGTATGTAAGCATGCCTACACATATCCCTGCAACATGATTGGCTGTTTGTCGTCTTTACCTTCTTCTCTTTGATGTCAGGTGGCTACTAGTGTTTAATGCACACAATTTAGCGCCCCCCATCCTCTTTCCCAGTATTTGGGTGGTTTAACTGCAGGTTGAAATATTTTGAACTTTTATCAAACGTTATATTTATTTTGATAAAAAAATGTATTGCGATAATTATCGTTGTGGTTTATTGCCCAGCACTACTGACAGGCTCAGATTGTTACGATCCAGACATAGATAAACCTTTTGGTTCAAGAAGAAGATAGCAGCTGTTACAGTACATCGCTCTCTCTCCAAACACACCACATTACTTTGACATAAACAGGAATTTTACCTCACAGCACTCAGGAGTCCTCTGCTGTCCCAATCCTGTAGCTTTTTGTCAATATAAAAATATTGTGTTGAGAACTAACCATTTAAAAAAGCCAATGTCATTGAGGACTTAAAGATGCAGGAATTCCCCTTTAAGTTGTTATACCACAACATCCTCGCTCATGATCTACAAACCATGAAAAGTAAACTGAACATCATGTGTGAATTTGGTGGAGTTGCCCTTTAAGAAGAGTTTCAGAGAAGATCTGATTTATTCACCACATCCGCTCTTCCATCATCATAATCATCCATTATGTGACTTTGTATGTCTTGATTTAACACCCTGACACTCTCCTCCGCCCTCTCCTCCATCACTTCCTCGTGTCCTCCTCTTCCTGATGCAGCCGAGGTTCAGCCCGAGGTTCAGCATGTCGACGAGCTCGTAGCAGAGCAGGGCTGGCCGCGCTGGCTCTGGGTTTCAGAGTACAAGAATAGTAAGATGGATGAACCACAGAGACCAACAGTTTATTTGAAGCCTGGGCTCTACATAGTCATTACAGTGTGGTCTGATGGAGGCCTGCTTTAAGTCTATATGTGCACACATGTGGCTGCTCTCAGCTTTCTGTCTGTAGTTAAGATGCAGCTGAAGGGTCAACCCAGATTCTTCCTGCACAGCAGAGCTCTGCTTGTTTAGCAGGTTTCAGACCATTAAAAACAAACTACCATCGCTGTCAGCCAGTTACAAAGAAAACTGGATCATTCATGGAACACCAAAGTATTCAAGATGAATGATACATATCAACCACACAGGCTCTGGTTTTAAATTATTTCTATAGGGGATGTTTTGGTGAAACCTGATATTGAATCCTTGGTGTTGTGAAGGATCAGGGGGGTCTCCAGGATTTCTGGGCCCCATGAGAAGATGTCACAATGAGCTCCAGGTCTAAATGACTCCACCACAGGAGATATTACTATGACCACAGCTCCTTTACACAAATGACCCACTAAAAGATTGAAATTGAGGTCATCAACATTGTACTCCTTCAGTACTTTATGAATGGATACAACCTTTTTTTTATAATCAACACTATTTAAAAGTACTGAGGATTAAAAAAAAAAAATGTGTACATGTAAGAGAAGAATGAGATGATTAAAACTTCCAGGCAAACACCTGCACACTGTCTACATTGCAAAAAAACTTCAGGCACATTTTGGTACTGAAATGTTGTTTTGTTCAAATTAAACATTGTGCAAATGTTTGTTTGCAAATTTTGCTAATTAAAAAGAAGAAATTATCTTATATTGGGTGTCTAGGACTTCCATATTTTTTGCCATGGTATCTAAACAGATATCTCAAGAAAACGGTTGTTTTTTCTGTGATATTGACCTAATAGCTTTCTAGTTAAAGGTGCACTGTGGAGTTTTGGTAGAGAAATGTGAAAGTTGGAGAAATGTACAGATTCTGTGGTATAGGTTCATAACTCTACACAAACTGTCCTCAGAGGAATATTTGGTCCCTGTAACTGTTTGTAGATAAAATGCTACGCGAGAAGTTATGTTTGGGGTCCGCAACAGTGAAACCGTAATTCTCCCGGTAGCTTTTAAGCTCAGTGTCCAGGGACCCATTTTTTTTACTTTGAATAAAGTTTGTGTATTCAATTTAGAAAATATACCATAGAATTGTTTCACTTCTCCAACTTTCAAATTTTACTACCAAATCTACAAAGTGCACCTTTAATGAACAAAGAAGAGGAAGATTGTTGATATAAAAAAAAAACTGAATCAAAGTATATTTTCATTAAAGGGGACATATTATGAAAAATCCACTTCTACAGTGTTTTTGAACATATATTTGGGTAACCTGGGTGTCTACTGACCCACAAAATGTGAAATAGATCCACCAAGTCCTTTTTTTGTAGTCTACATAAGTCTTAACACACAGAGAAATGTGCTCTCCTTGTGACATCACAGTGGGATTCTGGTCATGAAAATCCCCTCCCCTCCCCTGATATCTCCACCCATGGACTCCACCCCCAGTCTAGAACAAAACTTTTGCGCAGGTCCGCCATTTTTATCATCGCTACAGAGGAGTGATGTCTATGGGGAAAACTCAGGGGGGGCTCATTGCATTTAAAGAGACACACACACCAAAACAGAGCGTTCTGAGAGAGCTGGTTTATACAGGGTCACAAAAACCTCCTCTGCTGCTTGATTCATGTTATATTTTGACCAAAGCACAGCACAGATGTTTCATTTAGACCACAGGGGACTGTTTGAAAAGGTGGAAAAGGAGGATAATATGTCCTCTTTAAACCTCCTTTATTTACCTCAATATAACATCAACCTGTTGTTCTGTCTTCATCAGAAAAGTATTCAGGCCTGAGGGCCCGCTCTGCTTCCTGTTCTTCACCCACTGTTGGAGCATCGAAGCGGACGACTGGGTCGGCTGGTCGGGCGCACGATGCCAGGATGCCCATCACTCAGGACAACGCCCTCAGCATCCTCCCTCTGTTGGAGGACTGGCACAAGACTCAGACTACAAGAGGAAGGAAGGACCAGAACCAGAACCAGGAAACTTCTGGAGACAAGGTAACACACCTTTAACCATTCAACTGTTTCATTTAGTTATGTTTAGCAGCATGTTGATTCCACCATAACAATAAGTCTGCTCATTAAAACAAGATACTTCTCCCTCAGTTACAGGACCATATCATGTTAAATAAAGACCATGTTAAATAAAGACCTTTCTTGTTTCTTGTAAATTAAGAGATCTCTAATACAAACTATATGTCACAATGAACAGCTCATGACAATGAACCTTTTTTCATTTTGCACTTATTTACATATTTTTACATGACGTCTGTGAGGTACAAAAAGTTTCTGAATGTCTCCTGTAGATTATGTAGTTTATCCTGCAGCAGTGAAACAGGCTGTAATGTCTGTAACATAATCCTTCTTGTACCTAAATTATGTCAATTACTCGACATACCGTGTTATTCTGTGCTACACTAATATTCTGTTTATCTAAACTGTTTATAACACAAAAGTGAAACTGAATTAAATTGCAGGAATTCCCCTTTAGAGGAAGAATGTGCGACTTTTTGATCCAGTAGATGTCGCCCTTGAGCACCAGCATGAAACCAAAACAAATGGCTGTTGGTAACCCCTCGCTATTCTGAAGTCTCCGCTTTGAACTTTCGTGGAGTGCAGTTATAAAAGGACTGAATGTATTCCCATGGTTTGTTTGGTGGAGTATCATGTGAGATGACTGAGGGGGGCGGATGATTGATGGATTATTGCATACTTCCAGTACATCCAGTAGAAAGTGGGAGAGTGCTTTCATTGAGGGCTTTCACATCCTGCAGAAATAAGTGCTGCTGGAAGCTCTGTGACCTACTACGAGCAACATCTCAGTCACTATTATGACAACCAGTTAACCTAGTTATTTCACTCTGATGGCTGGATTGCAGACCATTGTGCGGCTTATACTGCAGCGAGGCAGGGTTAGATCAAGAGGAATGATTTGACATGATAGCTTTCTCACTTCAGCGCCCTCCGGCTCACTGGTCCCTCCACACAGAAGAGCGAGACGCTTTGCTTTGGTGCAAATTTGAATGTCAGTGTTTACTGAACTCTGGGAAAGTGCAGCAAAGACTTTCTGAACGCACTGATTACAACGATTCATCAAACTGAATTGACCCTAGTCCAAAACCTTGCTGTAAAAGACAGTGTGACCGGCATCCAGGGCTATAACTCTTCATCAGTGAATGTATTTGGTAAATGATTAATGAGGATGTGGTGAATAAATCAGAGCTCCTCTGCACTCTTCTTAAAGGGCAAATTATATGATGTTAGATGATACAAAGTTAATAGTGACCTGTAGGAAAACAGAATGTAATGTCAACGCAAGGGCTAAAAATGAAAGCAATCTGATTGATGAGAGTGACGCCCTGGACCTCATGAAACAACACACTCACTATCATCCACACGAAGCCTCCGCTCTGGAAACACCAACCTCCTCCGTCCCCCCAGGACTAAACTACACACCATGGGTGACCGGGCCTTCTGCTCCTCTGCTCCCAGTCTGTGGAACGCTCTCCCCGAGCAGCTGAGGGCTCCACAGTTTGCTGATGCTTTTAAAAGGGCCCTAAAAACCCACCTTTTTAACAAAGCCTTCTGCTTGTGCTTTTAGTTTTGTTAGTTGCTTAGTTGATTAAATATGTTTTTATTTCTATTTTATTTTTCTTCCTGTAGCACTTTGAGATTTTTTTGCAAAAATGTAAAGAGTGTTACAAATTAAATGTATTATTATTATTATTATCATGACACTGTGGAGTCGTTTATTGTTCCTCCAGCAGCTGTGAGCTGATGTTTCTGTTGGCTGTCATAGTCTTACCTCCAATTTCCTTTTTTTTTTTTCCTCCATGGTATTTGTAGATAAAAAGAAAAGTAAAGATGATCAACAGTCTTCAATCTTGAATCCTCTACTAATGTCATGTTAAGTATGAATTAAAAACATAATGCAACCTGAACTGTAGTAAATCATAACTTAACTCACCATCAGTGTGAGACCTTCGCTGGTTTTCCAGAGATAAGTTGTTAATAGCGTGGCGTCATGTGTGTGAGTATCAGGCGCAGTGTGTGCCTAACATAAAGTCTGAGCCTTGTTTTGGTGGCAGTAAAAGCTGAATGAGTAGAGAGTGTCTCCACTATCTTTACTGTCTGAGAGTCTTTTTTCAGCAGCACCAGTCCGTAAAAACTGTTCATTTTTGTGGTTGGTCATCTTAGGAAAATAAAGGACAAAACACAACGCAGTACATAAAACATCCACCCTCTAGATTTTGACTGGGTGTTTGCGGTCTGGCTCGAAACAGCCCGCAACCTCAAGGTCCTGCACCGATCTAAAGGCCAGTGGTTGGGGACCCCTGATGCAGACTGAATATGGACAACATGAGAACATGTCTTTCTTTGTTGTACAAAAGTGAAGCCAAAAAACCCCTGTGAAGGGTGCTGACATTGCGCCTTTGACATGATTTGGAGCCAAGACATGCAGTCCACAGCAGAACAGATTCATGTGTTGGTTTGAAGCTGACAATCACAGTTATGGAAATTCAATGACTGTATTGTTAGTTTTCAATCCATAAATTCAGCTGGGGTTCATGCCCTAAATATTTTGGCTTCACTCTCAGTAGGCTGTTGCTCTGTCCATCTCAATATACAATCCATGGTACAGACCTGTAATGAGATTTATTTTATTAATACGTTTTGCCAACTGATTTTCCATCTTTTCTTCCTCTTCTCCTCCTCCTCCTCCACATCCTCCTCTTCCTCCCCCTCCTCCCCCTCCTCTATGTCCAGCAGGTGGATCAGGACTGGTACAGGAATGGGGAGGGGGACAGCGTGTGCAGCAGCAGCAGCGTGAACAGTTTAAACATGGACGACATGTCTGTGTGTGTGGCTGCCATTCAGAAGCTGGTGGAGTACATAAAGTTTAACTTCATGGAGGGGGAGGTCACTCTGTCTCCCAGCCCGTCCTCCTGCAGGGAGGGGTTAGACGTGGAGATCCAGGCCGTCTCCATGAGTAAAGAGGAGGACGACTCTGCAGAGTTCGGCCTCAGCTACGGGAACATCCCAATCTTTGGAGACCCCGACGGGAGGAAAAAGGGGGGCCCGAGGAGGAGGAGGGACCAGGGCCCCATCATGGACGTGGGCTGTATCTGGGTGACGGAGGTGAGGAAGAAGAGCCCGGCCGCCCGCTGTGGGGGGATCAAACTGAGAGACGAGCTGCTGTCTCTGAACGGACAGCTGATGGTGGGAGTGGACGTCAGCGGAGCCAGGTGAGACAGATTTTTAAAACAGTGATCCAATCATATGGAGGGGAAAGTTGTTGTTTACTGTAAGAAGCACACAATTTCTGTTCAAATCAGGTTTGGTAAAGATGGTCTTAAGAAACCTGATGGTTCATTATTAAAACTTTAACATGTAGTGAATAAACAGCTGATCAACTTGTTTTTTAAAGGTTTATTATTTTGGGCTTTTTATGGCTTTATTTAGAGAGAGGACGGTGAATAGAGTCAGAAATCAGGGAGAGAAATAGTGGGAAATGACAACGAGCCACAGGTCGCTTTCGAACATGTGCCATCTGTTTGGAGGACTACAGCCTTAGTCCATGGGCTGCGCACACTAACTACTAGGCTACCTGCACCCTAGAATGAATATATAATAATATAGGTTCTCACACAATAAAAGGTTGTAACTCGTGGCCTTTTATCCCAAACAAACAACACTACGATGCCATTTTTCCTTTCTGCATATAGACTTTCATATTTCAGGGATGTGAATCTTTCAGATTTATATGGAATTCCGATTTTTCCGACCTGAAATGTTGACCCGCAAGACTTAAATATCCTTGAAAGTGTTTCTTACACATAGACTACGAGTATATGTGCCAGCCATTTTTGCATCTTTCTTTTTATCCGTGTAAGATCGGCATCTTAGATTGATAAATTAGCGGACAATCAGAACTCACTCTCTCCAGCTCAAGTTTGTTTTGCTCTGCTGGTTATCAGAGAGAGAGAGAGAGATTTAACTATTTATACTTCATCTGGTGTGTGTTCTTTTCTGATTGCATCGGGATATTCATTGTTTCTGACAGCCCTGTCTGAACATAGTGTGATATAATCTAATGTATCTGTTTGAAGTGTCTTTTTTTTATCCATTATGACAAATGTACAGTATGTCATTAATCAGCCTGTTTGGTTTTGTGCTGCACCACATCCACTTTAGAAATACTTATGAGTTTTTAATACTTGAACATTTTAATTCAGGCATTCCGACATCTCAAAGCTTTTCTCTTCGATCCACTGTGACTTCTGTGTGTGTGCTGTGTGCATATGGCCCTGCAGGCTCATGCCCTATTATGGGCATAAAAGAGGTGTTTTTATGCTAATTATCAAAAACATGTGTGAGCTCCCAGATAATGAGGACACGGCATTCATCAATTTCAGAAGACAGGTGAGAACAATTTCGTTGTTTAAGAAAGCAGCATGAATCAGACTTAGAGTTTTCTTAAAACTTCAATAAAACTCATAAGTAGACATTAGTGCCAGCTTAGGCTCACAAGCTGCCAAAACTCCTTTGAGGTTGAATGACAATGAAAAGTTTGGTGAAGTGTCTTAAGAAAGTAGTTTGCTTTTTGTGTTTCTAAGCCAACAGCAGCTGGTTAAAGAACATTTGCAGCACTCAGGTAAAACATGATACACATGAGGCTTATAAAGGAGTTTGGTGTGGATCGAAACTGAAAACATGGAACATCCAAATGTGATTTTACTGCCATATCCTGAGCTGGTGCTGCGCATGCTGTAATGAGAAGCAGCTGATCTTCACATTTCAGAAGCCAGAAGTGATTCAACCTTTCTTCAAAGGAAAAATTCAACCTGAATAAAAGTTTTCCCACCGTGAGCTCTAATGAAGCATAAAGGTACATGTCAGGTGTAAACTGCCCTCATGTAGTCCCTGTAAACATCACCCGCTCACCTCCTTCATTTTCTCAAACACCCAGAACAGGAGGAGTTTTTGACTAACAAGCTGCTTATGATGGAGGTGATTATCGCAGCAGGATTAAAAGAAGTTAACAAAGAGTGTTCAAAACACTTCATTATTGTTTAGGAAAGAACAAGACGCTCCATGTTCCCCTGTAGAGATGTAACTTTGGGTGTTTGTTGACCTATGGATGTCAGGACTCTAGTTTTCTTCATGATATTTAAGCCTGCATGATTTTTTATTTTTTATTTTTTTACAGTTACCTGACTGACCAGTGCTGGAACGGAGGCTGCATCTACCTGATCATGCTGCGGCGAGTCAAGAGAAAAGCCCCTCCCCCTCCCCGTGAGGTCAACGGCGTCCTCAGTGTGTCTTTGAGTGGAGATGGCTGTGACGGACAGCAGGAGGGCGGAGCCTGCGACCCCTCTGACAGCTCAGGAAACTTCAAACGCACACGCAAGTTTGGAGTCATCTCGCGCTCGTCCTTCACTCGAGACAACAGAGACGGGTCAGACTCCGAGCTGCAGAGCGGCTACACGCCTGCAGGAGACGACCCCCCACACACGCCCACAGAGGACAACACACACACCTGTCTTCAGGTGAGACCTACAATCCATCGGATGCACAGCGGAGGCTCGGCCACGCTGCCAACACGGAGCCACAGCCAGCTGTTAGAGAGCAAAATGGATTCAGTCAGCAGCGAACCTTCAAACCAGGTGAGACTCACGGAGAGGTGATGTAAAGCACAGATACAGGGGGCGTGAGTTTTTATTCACACCCCTTTATTCCCCAGATCAGTTCGTTTTTTAAAAGAATTCAGGCAAAGAAAAAGTTCAAACGTTAAAGACGTAACATGAGACATTCTGATCATTAGAGTAGCAAAAATCAGATATACCCTTTGAAAATATTATGTGGATAATGACTTCCTAAAATGAGAGTGAAGGTTTGTTGTTCTCAGCTCTGTGTTAACAACTGACAGGACGGCACTTCCTTTAGCTTGTTTTTTGATTCACAGAGAGGCTCAAACATGTCTCATATTTATATTCCACTTCATCCCCTTCCTCTCTAGCTGTTAGCTCTGCCACTTGGACGCAGTTTCCAGGGTCATCATAATGCAGTGTCGTCACTAGAGTAAAACTAAAGAAGACTTTTCAAACTGAAGAATTTCTTCAGATAACAAACAAATCCATTTTGAGATGCTCATTGTCACTTGAAATTGATTGCAAAATCTTGTTTCCAGGCTGCACGATGGTGCATGCATGTTGGTTCTCTCCGGGTACTCCGTCTTCCTCCCACAATCCAAAGACATGCTCGTTAGGTTAATAGGTGACTTTAAATTGCCTGTAGGTGTAAATGTGAGTGTGTCTGACGGTTTGTCTCTATGACCAAAGTTACTAAAAAAAAAGTCTTGTGTTTTTATAAAAAGATCTGTGTTCAGACGACAACGTTTTGATAACAACCACCGTTTACAAAGATCTACAAAAATGACGTAAAACGCGGTACAGTAGGATACATGCCAGGGTTCCATTTATCACCGCTGGGTACACACATAACAGGGCCTGAAACTGGCATACGCCATTTCTCATGCAAAAGTTGTGATCTATAGGAACAAACCTGATGGTAAAATGTTCACTGGTAAGCAAACTCTGGCGTACATTTTGGAGGCAGAGGAAATTGGCGACACAGAAGGCGATTCAGTGAATTGCAGCCAGAATTGAAGTCTCTTATAGTAAGCCGTTTTCCATTAGTAGCTTGAAACAATATGAAAAGATTTAAACATTTAAAAAATACAAAAGAGTCTTCCACATATTTCATCAACTTTGTCTCACCTTTATTATCCCAGAAAGTCCATTTTTATTGTCCTCCTTCCAGTTGTTGCCATGATCCAGCGCTGGAAACCTTTGATCTGCCAGCTCATTTGTATGCATTAGCATTCATGAGATGCTTTGCATTGACCATTTAGAGTTGAATGTGCCGTGGGCATGTAGAGGGTGGCTTACAGGAGCCGATCCATGTGCGCACATTCCCAGGTGGATTGTGTTTCGTAAATGCAACATTGCATGCAGGTGTGCATACCCAGTTTTATGAATCTGAATGATTTCGGGCACAGGCCTTTTCCGGGTTTTGGCCGCAGGTACACTTCTAGTATGGATTCTACGCACTGTTTTATAAATGAGACCCCGGGCCAGTAGTTAGCAGTGTTACTTTGTAATGAAACAACACGTGCATGTGCACATACTCTTCTTTGCACAGAGGGCTGAGGTGTAAACATGAAAAAATGACGGACGCGCAAACATTTGTGTGGACAGAAGATGAGGGGTTGCTATTCCAAGTGACCCTAAACCACAAAGAGTAAATTTCAAGAAATGTTGACTTGGCGTCGTGCCAGTCCACATTTTCACATAAAAGAACTTGTGAGTCCACCATGGTTGTTGTAGTAGTAGATGGAGGTGCTGTGCACTCTGGAACCCATTTCTTAAAACACCAAAAACTGAGCTGAGACAGGGCCTATATGTCATCCCTGTGATTGATGGTGTCTTGTATTTCGATGTCCACAGAGTGTTTGTCTTGGTCTGAAAATCTGATCTGAGAGATTCTTTGTAAGTCCTTTAATAATGTCAAATACTTGATCAGCCATAAAGACACTTTCTGGACAAATGATCATTTGGTTTGATGATGGTGCTGGTTGAAATGTCAGCACACCAAAGTTATGAAAGGCCTTCAGAGAGGAACACAAGTCTTTGTCCCAAATCTGAAGAACGACATTCAAATCATTTTTTGAGTCATCTGAGTAAACGTCATAAATTGGTGCTTTGGTGAGTCTAAACAGAACTCTAATATAATCATGCTCTTGTATCCTGGTGAGGATTTAGCAGGACATCAACAATTTACATTTTCTGATACAACATGTCAATAAAAGTACTGAACTATGTAAACAGACATGACATTTGCTAGAAAACAATTTGGGTCAAGCATGTCAGCCGGCAGGAAAATATTTATGGAATTAGTAGAAGTTGTCGTATTTATCAGGTTGTTAAAACGTTTTTCTCTAGTCTGTAAAAATGGATCAACGCAGCTCTGAAGATATTATTTTTTATTTTTTGTTGAAAAGCACAGCATTTGGTTCTTTCAATCACTCTTTTGTTTCAAATTTCTCTTCCACTTTTAATGTAAATGAATTATGCTGATTCACAGAGAATATGACGAAGCATCAAAGCGTCATCAGCCTGGTTTGACTCTTGGAGTGGATTAGCATCAGAAAAGAGTTTGTTCACTGTTTCCTTTGAAGGACAGAGCTGCTTTGTGATGAAGAGGCAGCAGCACCGCGAGGGACGAGTACAGAGGAGAGGGAGGGGATCATGGCCCTGTTTACACTTGGTGTTAACATGCATCTTGAGTGCACTCACAGGTTTAGCACAGATTTCATTAATCATGTCTGTTATGTCGTGTAACCATCAGTATTGTTTACTGTGTGTTTAATTCTTTAAAAAGATGCATTTTGAAGACCATTTTTAAGCTTTGAGGCAGACAGCTGGTCGAGGCTCTGATTGTTACTCTTTAATTAGCTTCATAATAACTACAGACTCTTTATGGAAGATCCATACAGTAAATCCAATACTCATGTCTCCTTGAGATTATTTATCCATGTTTCTTTCTTAAAACTGCTAGCTATCCACTGGACGCCCCTCAGTTTGCCAGATATGGGACCATTTATGGAAAATGGACTTGAGTTTATATTTTGTTTTCTAGTCTTCAGACTACTCAAAGCACTTTTACACTACATGTCACACCCACCCATTCACACACTGATGGTAGTGGTCGCTATGTAGTATCATCCATCAGAAGTAACTAATCCCAGTGTTTACCCTACCATTATATTAGGGGGGCGCCCCGCCCCAAGGTCAAGTTAATTTTTTTTTTTTTTAGATTTGTATTTGGGCTTTTTGTGCCTTTATTGTAGGGATAGGATAGTGGATAGAAAAGGACAGCTGTCATTAAAAGTAACCTATGAACACCAAGGTTCCTTCAAGTGTTTGTGTCGGCATGTTGGAATGTCCCCCCCGACATGAAAGCACTGTAATATAAAACTCTGCACTCTGAAAAAGACAAACTATTGTTAAATAATTGCAGATACTGCAGCATGAGATGTTTTTCAAGAGCTTTAAATCGGTCTTTTTTTGTGTAGAAAAAAATCTTCTGTCTGGATCTACACGGCTACAGTATTAAAGCTTTTTGGCCCTGTAATCCAGCCGTCCAATCAGAGCAGAGGATGAGCAGATATGTGTGCAGATGTCTAAGTGACAAATCGCTCTGTAAACATCAACTGGTGAGAGGATCCAGAGCGAGCGATATGCTGAGGTTTAACATGTGGGTCAGAGGATTGAGACGGACAGCTGGTGAACGAGCTCGACACACAGATTGTAGAAGAAGAATCACGTCTGCACAGCAGCAGTGTGTGCGTGTGTGCGTGTGTGCGTGTGCGTGTGCGTGTGCGTGTGCGTGTGCGTGTGTGTGTGTGTGTGTGTGTGTGTGTCTGCGTCTGCATCTATAAATCCTTCCACAGGTCCACAAGGCTTCAAATGGCTGATCAAGCTTCGATCAGGGGTGCACGGAGATGTTAGACCAGACAGAGGGCCAGATTGTTAAACACACAAAAACCCACAGCGTGAACACACGCTCTGTGAGGCCGCAGTCAGAGAGTTTTAGTTCATGTTTGTGCGGCTGTAAAAGGTGTGAAGGAGCAGTGTGACATTCATTAAAATCAAACACTGTAAGGGTTCATTAATACACTTCTAACCAATCACCTCACTGCTCTCAAATCTCTGAAACTGCTCAGCCAATCACAGTGATGAGTGACAACAACAGCTTAACAAATGGAGATTTATTCAGGAAATCATGTTGTTATTGTTCGGACAGGTCAAGACCGCCATGTTTACAAAGCACATTTTATACACCAGGGAAATATGAAGGACTTTAAACAGGCAATGAAAAGTTTTTAAATATACATGTATGTGTAAAATGTAAGAGCAATAAAAAAAGTCTTTCACACAAAATGGTTCAAAAATGTATCAAAAAAAGAATCAATTACATTTTTAAAGGGGATATGAAGCATGATATTCATTTTGGGCACTACCCACATGTTTAGCCGTGTTGCTTATTTCACGAATGCACGATCCTTACAAGTTATACCTCGATGTAAAGGTGACTAATCAGGCTTTCTAACAAAATATAATACAACACCAATTAGTATTATTAAAGGGCGGAAATAATTGACCAAAATAATGTTCCAGTGGTTTGGAGTTTATGTAAACAGTATGTAGACGTGTGTATATCCTATGTATTTATGTTTGTGTCCATGCATTAATGTTTATTTAAAAAAGAAAAAAAAAACTATTTGGCCCGATGCAAGAAAGCCCAAGCTACATCCCTTTACAGAGAGGGGTGCGGTCAGAAACAGCTCATTTACATTTAAAGGTACAGACACAGAAACAGCCTGTTCTGAGCAGGGCTGAAATAGAGGGGTTTATAGTTCATGATCAAATACAGGATCAGAGTGGATCATTGGCACGTCACAGACATGTTTTGGGGAGCTCTGAGACTTCTTTAAACTTGTTGAAAAGAGGGAGAATATGTGACCTTTAATGTGACAGACCTCTTCAACATCACAGTAACAGAAGACCAAAGGCAGAGTTTTTACTTCCAACTTGGTGTTCTAATGAATGTTTTTCATCAATTTTGTGTTAGATTATTTTTGATGAAGTAGATAAAACACCAAATCGTCAAAAGATAGACTTTCACATTCATCCTTTATGTGAAGTAACTCCTGTTCAAATACGAGAAAGGGAGAGTTTACTCAGCTGCTCTCTGCGCCTCCTGAAAGGATTTATTTATTAGCCAACAAATAACAATTACAATCAGGTGCTGGTTGTTTCATCACAGCTTAGACTGAGCTGAATAAATAAAGGCGTCTTTGTTTCAGCACAGTTCAGACTGAGCTGAATAAATGATTTCACAGTTTAAGACTTTATACACACAAAGCTTACATAACAGCCCCCAAGACGTCTTCTAATCCAAGTTTTGGCCACAGCAGGGAGACTGATTTCATGTTTGATCAACACCATAGTGAATCAAATTCACCTTTTTATTCTGTTGTGATGAACTATTGACTATTTACACCCATATACACCCAACCAGTGAACTCTAACCCGTGTCTCTGTCTCTCCTCTGTGACTGGTGTATGTGTCCATAAAGATAATTTTTTTATAACCAGTAAATCATCAATAGAAATACTCTGTAAAAGTTCCTGAATTGTGAGTTGCAGCAGGTCTGAGTTCAGGGTTCAGGTTGTCACAGGAGGTTTGTGAGGGTAACAGAGAAAAACAACAATACGATACAATAATTTGGGAGGGCTGTCCGATGATTTTTCAGGCAGTATATGATGCGGATGAGTTTGTTTCTCTTCACAACTGTTAGCATGGTGAAGAAAGAAGGTGTGCAGTGGAGGAGGATGGGCTGGAGGATGCTTCCACACAGTAGTAATAGGATGTGATGTGAAACAGACAGGGCTCTAAGTTAACGTGTGACCAAAAGTCTTTACTGGCAGTGTTTATTGTCCAGAGTGAGCCGCTGAGTTGAGCAGTTCTTCATTGTTAATGTACGAGGGGTTGCAGTGAGCCAGGGTTAGGTCAGGATTAGTGATGACCTTTTCTTTTGTTTTTGTGACATTCTCTTGGAGATAGTTGTCTGTACACCACTCTGTGAAGTGAGATTTGTGTGCTCTGGTACTAAGTAACTGTAACTGAGTTGTTGTAAATCAGAAGTGTATCTACATCTGTGTCGTCCGAGTATTTAAACAGATCACATGCAAAAGGAAAGAAGTGCAGATCCAAAACACAAATCACACTGGTCACTTGATTGTGAAGCCTGATGTAACTAAAACTAACAAGGATAATCACTGAAGAGAGTGAACTGAAGTGCAGTCTGTAGTTAACGCAGTGATAAAGTGATGGCTGACCCAGGCTGGAAGTGCATCGCTTAATCAGCATTTCATATGTTCAGTTCTTTCAGATTGTGGACACAATTATTGCTTCTCTGATCTGATATTGGTTATCTATACAGATGCTGCCTTTGAAGAAAAATGCATTATTTGCTCTGCATTGTTTCTGACACAACCAGATTTCTCAGCATGAGTCGTGATGCCTTCAGGTGCTGCAGGGATTTAAAGAACTGAACAAGCTTTTCATTTAGTTTAAAGCCGCTGTGTTATTAATTGTTATTTATAGATGAATGCAGACACATTCATTGATGTTCCTCATGTTCCTCATGAAAACTTTAAACTTTATTCTGGTTTAAATCAATCTTACGTTTGGGGAGAGATCTATTCTGATTGTTTTCTGTGTCAAGATTGGATTACTGCTTTGTGTAAATTTTTGCAACTTATCCTTTTGTTAAATTTTATGAAATGTGTTTGAAATGTGTCCCTACCACAGGAGCCTCGCCATACCAGAGTTGTCAGTGATGACGAGCACAAAAAAAGATGACGACACATTGTTCTACCTGTTTCACTGCAAAGATTAAAGAGCAAAAAAAGCAGAGAACAGGCTCCTCATGTCTCATTTTTTTTTTTATATCAGTACATTATTATTAGGTGGGGGTTGTTTCAGCTGTATAAATCCAATGATAAAATCGCAAAACAGGCAGTGGACTTTTCATTTATTCGGCCGAGGTCGGACAACAGCAATAGAACAAGCTTGTTAATATTCTGCTAGAAGGTACAGCCTACAAATTCCTTTGTATTTGGGTACACTTCTAAAAGGCCAGAAAGATGACATAACCTTGACTTGTGAATGCCAGACATATACATTTCAGCCTCCGTAAACCTTGTTTCCTTTTCAGCTTACAACATCTAATCCAAATATAACTCTGCTGCTAGACGAGCTGTCTTGCATACGTATAAGTTACAGCTACTCAAATCTAAAATAGTTACTCTTAGATGGTAGACAGATTTAAATGGTACATTCACAAAGTTTCAAAGGTGTATGAATTAGTAAAAATAAAAATAAAAAGTTATTTTCCAGCTTCATAATCTGTATATGCGTTTATAAAAACGTGCATTTTAAACTTGTCCTCCGGGTCGTATTTGTTCTCTGTTGCAGTCCAGAGACGGCAGCCACATCTGGAAGATGCATCTGGTGAAGGGCCAGGAGGGGCTGGGCATCCAGATCACCGGGGGGCGAGGCTCCAAGCGCTCACCTCATGGCATCATCATCGCTCGAGTGGAGGAGGGAGGAGCCATTCACAGGTACACGTTGTTCTCATGAAGTGGGACAAAATGGATTCATCTTTGTGTTTGTGAAGCTTGAATTAGATTTTCAATCTGTCTTCTTAGCTCAATTATTAAATTATTATTTTTTCTTACTGCTTTCATTTTTTCAGATGTTTTTTCATAATAAGATGTATTCACTTAACACCAGTAACACGACCACATGCAGGTTAAAGGACTTCTTCGTTGATGGAGAACTGTTCAGCTTTACATTGTGTGTGTGTGTGTGTGTGTGTGTGTGTGTGTGTGTGTGTGTGTGTGTGTGTGTGTGTGTGTGTGTGTGTGTGTGTGTGTGTGTGTGTGTGTGTGTGTGTGTGTGTGTGTGTGTGTGTGTGTGTGTGTGTGTGTTTCAGGGACGGTCGTCTGCACGCTGGTGACGAGCTGCTGATGATTAACGGTCAGTCTCTGGTGGGTCTCACTCATCAGGAGGCCGTCTCCATCCTCCGCTCCACCTCCGGACTCGTCCAACTTGTGGTGGCCACCAGGGTGAATACACACACACACACACACACACACACACACACACACACACACACACACACACACACACACACACACACACACACACACACACACACACACACACACACACACACACACTACAAAAATAAAAGAAAAATCTGGTGGCATTTTTTCTCTCTTTTGGCAAGCAGCCATTTTTGTAACTCTTGTTTAAACTGGACTTTTGGCTTTGATTCTGCAAAAGGAGACTTGGATATGAAATGTTACAAACTGCAGATTTTGTAGTTAGATAAGTTAAGAGTCAGTCCCTGCCGGGGGTGATTCATTGACACCGAGCAGAGCTGCAGAATCAGCACCCTGGACAGCGGTTTTCAGCTCACAGAAAACAATAAACAGCCCATCAGTTTAGTAACCATGACATTTTGTTATTTCTTTTTATTTTCTCCATATACACAAAATGAAACTAACTAGACATCTCACACACTCTCTCCTCTCTCTTCCTGCAGGAGGAGTCAGACGTCGGTTTCGAGCGTTTCCCCTCCACCAGTCTACCTGACCTGGTCAGCACCTGTAGTTACCTGTCCTCCCTCAGTCTGACGGCCCCCCCTCACTCACCTCAGGATTCAGACTGCAGCCCCAGCCTGCACAAACCCTGCCTGGTAAACACACACTTTCTTTACTGCAGGTTCATGTGTCTTACATCAGTCATCAGGAAGATCTAATCTGTGAGTTTGTCTCTACAGGCGACTAACCAGGAGAAACAGGAAGAACAGAGTCAGGCGGAAGCACCCAAAGGATCCTGCTGCTCCACACCCACCAAACTCAACAGCAGACCCTCGGGTTTGTTCCTCACTAACACTAAAATGTTTTGGTGTTTGGTTCCCAGTATAACGAGCACTAAATAAAAATGTTTCCATGTTCCGTGTGTGTTATTTGAAGTAGTCGAAACAGATAATGAAACACTGGAACATCTCCTTCAGTGCAGAGGAATAAAAGTATCTCGTGTTTCTCTGTGTTTCAGGGGGAAGCAGTCGTCTGGAGTCGGTGGGCGAGGACGACGAGCTGTTTGTGGAGAATGGCGTGAGCAGCTGTGAAGTGGTAGAAAAGCCTCCGCCTGGCCGACGGAAACACTCACTACCTCAACAACTCGATACAGGAGGAGTGAGACAGGTCAGTGAATACATTGAATTTAAAAAAAGGATAGCCACTTGAGATGCAGCATCTCACTTAAAGAGGTAACACAACACTAACACAAATACAAAGTAATGCACACAAACATACATAACAGCATACACAGATATACAGATACAGATACATACAGTGAACACCTCACTCTGCTTTTAAAGGAAGAACATGCAACATTTTACACATAAATACAGCAGAACTAAAGTATGTCCTCTGTAACTATCTCTCTGAGTCATGATTGTCTACAATGAGAAGCTCGAGTCCCGCCAGCTGTGTTGTTGTCAGAGCCGTGTTTACATCATGTTTACATGGACATGACGGCCTTGAGTATAAAGCTGTTTCAGTCAAGACCAGAGAAAAGAAGAACATACTCACTGCTTATTTGGATGTCACATAAGTATCTTTGGATCACGATCATTTGGTGTCAATTTGTGTGAAATGTAAAGCTATGAGTTAACCAGAGAGCGCTAACATTAGCCTGCTAACACAACAATGCAGGACACAGGCAATAGCAGCTTGGGCGAAGAACAATTTTGTCTGCCACTTGCGCTTAATGATGCTTAATTATGTTGCGTTCTACTTGATAACTCCTTCATCCAAACATGAGTGGAGAGGGGTTGGAGGTGTGGCGCTGGAGGAGAGCGGAGGCTTCAGAATAGCAGAGGTGTCACCAAACATCAGTTTGTTTTGGTTTCATGCTGGTGCTCAAGGGCGACATCTACTGGATCAAAAAGTCACACATTCTTCCTTTAACAAGTCTGAAGGTTTAAGAATGCATCACGCCTGTGACGTGCGGTGAGGTTCGTGGCTGATGAGGCACTGACTTTTTCAGATTCAGATTTACAAATATATGAACCCATTAATTGAACCCGGTGTATTCATTGTCTTACCTTTACTTGTAAAGGAAGTCCGTTCGCCTATCCTTCTGGGCTAAAATATCCGTGACTTTGTTGTAAAAGTTCTCATCATTTTCTTTTAGTTTTAAAAGTCTTCTATTATTTATCACTTCACGTTTTGATGAAAGTCCATTTTTGAGAAATCTTTAAGCTTAGATATAAAATCTTCCTTTTCCATTTTTGCAATCGGAGTGAAATTTTAAACTAAAAATTCTGCATAGAAGAGGAGCAACATCAAACCAAGCATAAACTCTTGGCCTTATGAGCCTCACGCAACCTGATGCACGCCCCCTTCAGTTGAGGCAGAGGTACTGGCTGCTTCACCTCATGTTTTTTTAGTGCGGTTTAATGTCAAATTACAAAGACTAAATATGTTATAAACACACATGAAATACATTACTTATTCTATGGAAAGTGAGGACGTATAATAAAAGAGTCTACAAGCATTACATTGGTGACAAACAGTAAGAAAGCAAAAGACATATGCTTGACCCACTTTGTGAGGGATTGCGCAATCTGACGTGAGGCACAACTCGTCGCTGCCTCACCTTGCATATCTCCGGCGGAGCCGGCTGGAAATATGCAAATTCAGCGATTTTGATCATGAAAATGATTGAATTTTTTTTAATCGTACAGAAATAACATTTAGTTCAGTAGAAAATATATATATTTATTTTATGTAATCATTATTTGTTTTTTACTCTTGATGATGACAGGTGAGTCTCTGCATCACGCCCTGCACTTTATGGATAGGACAACTAAAGAGATATGATACAGAATGGGGAGGAGAAAGCAAGGTAGACATTAAAAGAATGGCTGCAGGTTGGAGTCTAACCCAGAGCTAATGCTTTCAGACTTTTCCTCAGTACATTGGGAACCTGCTCCACTGAGCTGAACTGGAGCTCCCCTCAATCCCATTTCGAACAAAAAGTTCCAGGAACTAAAGTTTAGAGTAAATGTCACTTTTTGGGGAGCTTTTTTGGAGAGATAGGACAGTGGATAGAGTTGGAAATCAGGGAGAGAGAGAGTGGGGAATGGCATGCAGGAAAGGAGCCACAGGCTAGATTGCACTTCCATAAGGTTTATTTAGTAAACAGTATAGCATCATTTTCTTTAAATGCAGACTTTTACACGACAAGTCAGAACAGCTGTTAAAAAAGATCTGACCTCAAACAGAGAAAAGTAAAAAACAAACCTTAAATAGTCTGAAATATGCCGTTACATGTGGACACCATGTGCTGCAAGCGTGTTAAATGTAAATCAGTAACACACACACACACACACACACACACACACACACACACACACACACGTGTTAGTCATTTAAGAGATCAAAAAGGCAGATGATCGTGTGGATGAAGGGTTTCAAGTATCACTACACAACACATGTACTTTAAGCCGCATGAAAGAGTTTATAGGTGGATGTGTTTTTTCAATGACTCTTATCTCTCTCTCTCACACACACACACACACACACACACACACACACACACACACGCACACACACACACACACACACACACACACACACACACACACACACACACACACACACACACACACACACACACACAGATCAAAGCCTGCTTCGTCACGCTGACTGTCATGACAACATGTTGAAGGAGACCTGAGTTGATGAGAGATAAACGAAGAGAAGAACCATTTCAAATCACATCCTGTTTACAAACCTGTCCACAAGACGTCCACCTTACATTAACAGATCCAGACATTATCCTGACTAATAGTACGTTTAACAACTGACCGAGCACATTTTGAAGAGATGATGAACAGGATTTTTAGAAACGTTTTTTCATTGGACATTCATGGAGACTTTTGGTACAAAGATGGAGATGATTATATAGCACCAGGTTGTCAGGCAGGTGAGATGAGCCCAGGTAGAACGAGGGACGCAGGAGAGAGGAGGGGGGTCTGAGGGGTTAAAGGAGAATATCTGAAGGAGGGTTCAAGGCTCAGAACTTAAGTCTTTACTTAAAGGTGCAAAGGGACTCTCTCTGACCCTGAACACAAACTGGTTCAGCGGGGGAGACCTGAAGACACCCAGACTGGTTTTAGAGACTATAGGATCAAGAATGAAAGGCTGCATGCACAGAGCTCCCGGAGGTTTCTGTGCAGCAGCATCAGGCAGATTTGATTCTTTTTGTAGTAAAGCAACAATATGCAACTTTTCAACCTTAGAATAGTAGTTTCAAAGTCTAATAACTTTCAACTTTCAGCACTTTGTGTAAAAGTGTGAACAGCTACACCACAGACATCATGGTAACAGTTGAATACAAATACTCCACATACAAAAAGTTTGAATAAAGAATCAGGCTGTAGACACTAGCAGAGTCATATTTACTCAAAGTCTTTAAATATTACTGAGCCTTGTCAGTCGACATGGTTCTTTGCTTCTCACAGTGACAAGGGGAGGAGTTAACGGCATTATGATAACAGTGCAGTTCCACTCTGAGACCTTCTGTAGGCGTCAAAATGCACCAAACTGAATTTCTACATATTGTTGCCATAAAGATGAGGATTGTTCATCATCATCTTCATCGTCATCAACCTTAAAAAAATGGAAAAAGAAAAGTCATTAAAATAAAGTTGGCCTCAGAAAAGAAAGACGATTTGTTCCAAAAACAGAAAAGTGATGTATTTAAATCCACTTGAGTGTTTTTCAATTTTTCTGATCCTCTCTCTTTCAGGAGTATCAGATCATTAAGAAATCAGCTCGCTCTCTGAGCACCGTTCAAGTGGAGTCTCCATGGCGACTGGCACAGCCGTCCATTATCTCCAGCATCGTGCTGATGAAAGGCCAGGGCAAGGTGAGAGCTGTGTGTGTGTGTGTGTGTGTGTGTGTGTGTGTGTGTGTGTGTGTGTGTGTGTGTGTGTGTGTGTGTGTGTGTGTGTGTGTGTGTGTGTGTGTGTGTGTGTGTGTGTGTGTGTGTGTGTGTGTGTGTGTGTGTGTGTGTGTGTGTGTGTGTGTGCTCACAGATAAAGCTGTGTGTTGTTAAATGTGTCCTTACATGAATAATGAATTCTTAATTAACAAATGTAACCGTCTTGCTGCGACATCATCATCATCATCATAATATTACCAAATTAAGGTTCATATTGTGATGCTGTAGTGATGCACAATGCTGTGTGTAGTTGAGTGTTCTCTTCAGGTACTCTGGCTTCCTCTCACAGTCTAAAGACATCCTGGTTAGGTTAATTAGTGACCTTAAATTGCCTGTAGGTGTGAATGTGAGTATGTCTTATGGTTTGTCTTTATGGCCATATTTACATGAAAATGATCCTCTGAAAACGGAATCATTTTTTTTTGTATTCAAAAAAGTTCTGCGTTCATACGTGAACGTTTTGATAACAACCTTGGTGCGCACGCCTCCAGTAGTATACAAGTCAGACCAGTATCTGGCAGTGTGACTTTGTAATGAAACAACACTTGCATGGACACTCTTACTGCAAAACGTTGAGGTGTAAACATACAAAAATGGCAAATGGATAATCAGCTCTCGGCTGCCCTTTAACCACATAAAGATGGATTCAGTATTTGCCGTTTGTAAGCAATGCATCTCCGCTGATCAAAGTGATGGTGAAGTAAGTTGAATTAAGTGTCTTATGTGATAAATTTTTATTGTCGTTCACAACATTATCAAGCATAAAGGTGAACTTTGTTATTTATTATCAATGAAAATATGAACACCACCGCAGCATTGTGCTGCAGTGGTGTGACTCGACTCGATGTGAATCAGTTTTGTGTTCAAACTTTGATCTAAGCCTGTGTGTGCAGTTTTCTCTTTGTTCTCCCTGTGCTGCAAATAAATACAACTATTTACGATAACGTATGTTAACAAGACATGAGCTGCCTTCATGTGTATGCAGATTTTTTTCTGGCTTGATGATAATAAAAAAATGAGTTTTGATTTAGAAGAGGAACCTTGTAGCAGACTGAATCTGCAAAGCCCAGAAGATAAGTAGGATGTAATGTTTAAGACTGAGCTGTAAAAGGATCATGCAACTTGTCATTACTTGTGATCAAGGCCATCCATAAGGAAGGTAAATGGGGAAAGCTTTCTGGGGACCTGTCACATGAGGAGGGGCCCATGGAGCTTAAGAAAGACAAACATGGTGCATCCTAACTTTAAGCCACAATGACCACATTTTATTTAACACATACATACTCACCATTACCTCTTAAAGCAACAAAAACACACATTTAATTTATTGTTGCTTCAGTAAAATGTAGCCTCTTTCAAAATATAAACCCCCTCTGTTTAAAATGATATGAGCCTTTTCTTTCTGATGTTACCGACGTAAGCGGTCCCAGATAACTTAACTCTTAATGACAGTTACGTTGGAAGAAGTATAGCGACTCCAGGACCTGCACAAAGTATGGAAGCCAGAAAAGAAAGATGAAGAGAAGGAGGGAGCAGGCTGGGGCATTTGACCCCATCAAGAACTTGTTAACAACAAACAAACTTATTTCAGTCGGCTCTAAAGGCTGGTGGAAGCAAAGGCAGGGGGAGCTAATGTTAGCCAGGAGGCTAGCGCTAAAACTACTGATCAAATGTGCATACGTTGATTTAAATCATACCCTGGGAGGGCCCGTTCTCTGGGCCTATCAGGGGCCCAGCCGTTTCTGCTTGTGATTAATTGTTGGTTGACTGCAGCTGTGTTTCTGGTGTCGTGTAAGCTCATGAGGGTTGGGCACTTTGTGTGCATGACACGTAAATTAAATACGATCAAACAGTCGACCTTAAACTCTTAAAAAAGGCTTTTGAAGTTGTTTACTCCGCTCACTTGTTATGAGCTGTTAACAAACCTTAGATTATTCTATATGTATGGACTTTTTTTAAAAGAGGATGATGCTGCTGTCTTGGCCAGGACTCCAAACAGAGTCTGTATCTTTTTGGGAATCTTCCTGATAAAGTAATGGTTAAATAAACATTTAGGCAAAAACACCTTTTGACCCATTTGTCAAAACAATAGTCTGTTTGAAAGCACGTTACATGACAATACGCTCTTTAGATTTTATGTTGAAATTACAAACTTTTTCAATAAAGTTCAATAAAACTTAAAGAAAATATCATTAACCTCTAACTGTCCTCCCTCTTTCAAAGCTCTGATGTCTTACATGTTGAAAAAGCTTGAGCAGAAACTGGGGAGAGATTTTATTTTCCTGTAGGGATAAATCAACAACAGAAAAAACATCACACATCAAACATCAAACATCAGTGCTTTTAGTTTGAAGTGGAAGATTCACAGAGATGTTAGGAAGGCGTGACACCTGAGTTTAAACTGCAGGTATCTTCTTTCTTCTGTCACAGCCTTCAAACTAAAACATATATTTCTAAATGCTCTTCATTGCATTTTTGTTATTTCAGGGTCTTGGCTTCAGTATTGTTGGAGGTCAGGACTCAGCTCGGGGTCAGATGGGGATTTTTGTGAAAACCATTTTCCCTCACGGAGCTGCAGCCGCTGATGGACGGCTGAAAGAGGGTAAAACATTACCTTGGATCTTTTTGACTGAACTAGGAGAGCTTATGACATATGAGTAATCTTCATTTAGACTGTGATTGATTGTTTTCTTCTGTGTGAAGGAGACGAGATTCTGGAGGTGAACGGAGAATCTTTGCAGGGACTCACACACCAACAGGCCATCCAGACCTTCAAGGTACACCTCATGTTCGACTGACAAGAACTGTTCAATCAGACATGAAAAGCTGCAGAAAAGAAGCCCTGGAATAGAAAATGTCTTTGACATGTTTCAAAGATTTTGTTTCACCTCGAATCTTGATGACGTCCAACTCATTTATCAAAGTTAGCTGATCTCATTAATGGAGAAGTCACCAAAGACTTTTTAAGACTTTTTTCTTGTTTTAGGATAAATCTATGCGTTAAATATTTTCTCAAACTAAGGACGAAAGTAAAATCTAAAATTGACTAAGTGTCCCCTTTGACATTGAATCTTGTTTCCTCAAACAGCAGCTGAAGAAAGGAGTGGTGACTCTGACCATTCGGACTCGTCTTCGTAGTCCCAGTCTGACCCCGTGTCCCACCCCCACCCTCCTCAGCCGCTCCAACTCACCAAACTCCAACACAAGCGGGGGGACGCCAGTCCCTGCAGGGTTTGAAGATACTGAGGGTCGCAGGGGCCCCGGACCTGGTCCCAAAGACTGCATCATCATGGAGGTGACACTGAATAAAGGTGAGCTCAGCGGATGGAGAACCAAGAGAAACATATCAGACAGTTGCACTTCTTTGTTTCCACATGTCCTAAAACCCTGAAAGTTATTTAAAAAAAACCTCTTTTTGAGCCTCAAACTGAATATTTTTTTGAGCCATTGAACCCTGTATGTATGTTGTTGTATTTGCACGATTCTTAAATGTCAAAAATGAGTCTTAAAAAATGTAAATATAAAATTAATTTAAAGTGTGAAAAATTAATTCTGATTTACAATGGAGTTTACGCCTTACTAACATTGATAACATTTACATCTGGTTCCTACTGCAGTAGGTGTAAAGTAATCCGTAAAAATAACCTGGTTGACCTGGTGATGGTTTTGAAAGGTGGGCTATCTGGGAGGATGAGTATGAGCTGCAGAGGGTTTTATGGATTGTTTAGCATCATCAGTGTATTCTCTGTGACTGATGCCAACCCTCATTAATGTATGATGACGCTGATTTGTAATCCAGCTGCCATTCCATGACTGAATATATAATTGCACATGTCCAACAACGGAGCATTGTTTAATGACCTCATTCCTTTATTTTTCAGAAGATTTCACCACTAGATGTCACAGTTGAGTCTAGCTGTAGATAAAGGCTGTAGGATGCTGTAAACACTAGATTTTTATATCTTTTTATTATTGTGTCATGCATAAAACCCTCCACCCATGACAAGTTTCACCATCATTAATACAAAGAGACCAGAAACCAGAAGCACACACTTACCGATAATAATTCTGATCAAATAACCATCCTGATTCCTTCTAGCGATTAAAGATTAAAAGTGAAAAAACACTGATCCTGTCATCATCAGTGATCCAAAACATTTTGAATGTACTGTATATATTTCAATTATCGTACTTGTTCTTAACTCATCATAAGAGGGACAATTCAAAAGAAACTGAGATTTATTCAAAATCACATCATTCAAACAGACTGTGTTCCTCCGTGATGTTTTTATATCTGCAGTCTAAATGAGCCAGTGAGCCTAACTTCTGACAATGAGTGTGGGTGTTTTTCATGTTTTGTGACACAAGGTGTGTTTTATTTCAGAGCCCAATGTGGGACTGGGGATCGGCGTTTGCTGTCTCACTCTGGAGAACTCTGCTCCTGGGATCTACATCCACAGTCTGGCTCTGGGATCTGTGGCCAAGATGGATGGCAGACTCAGGTAACAAAATCAGCCCTCTCTAAATGTTAAAAAATGAAGTGTTAAACCTGGGCTCTATAGTTAAAGAAAGAAAGATCTACCTTTACGTTAAAGAGGGAGATGATTTCATAACCACAAACAGCTGTGACATCACTATCTACAAACACACCAGTCTACAGTGATAAAAACAGACATTTAACCTCACAGAACACAGGACTTAAGGTCTGCTGTCGTCTTTATTGGGAAGTTTATTGCGTTATTGCATTACACAAATATTGTATAAATCTGTAGTAACTGTTTGAACCACAGAAGTCTCATACTATCACACACAGACTAATTTATTGAGGAACCTGCAAAACAGCAACTCAAAAAAAGCAGACACTTTTATCCAAAGCGACGAACATCAGAGAGTAAGAACAACACAAGCAAGGCTATAGAAAAAAGAAAACAATGCCAGTCTAAAAGAAGGAAGACTGCCACTTAGTTCTCTTTTTTAATCCTTCTGATGTAGTTTTCAAGTTTATGTAGAGCCGTCTCTGACTGGCTGAATCTTACACAGTTCTTTGACAAAAGTGGTGTTGATGTTTTTTCTGTGTTCAGTCGTGGAGATCAGATCCTGGAGGTGGACTCGGTCAGTCTCCGTCACGCTGCTCTCAGTGAGGCCTATGCCATCCTCAGTGAGTGTGGACCTGGACCGGTCAGTCTCATCATCAGCAGACACCCCAACCCAAAGGTACGAGCTAATGTGTGTCTCTGTTCTTAGAGTTTGATCTACTCTCGTTTGTCTTTCAAAGAGGAGCTGAATGATTTGGTAAAGTGTCAGATAGTAAGTTCGTGGACTGTCAGCCAGATTTTCTGGTGCTACAGATGAAGGTTAGTTAAACATCAACTAAAATAAGTTTATTTAAAAGTATTTTAACACAGGTATTGCAAACACATCATGGAGTGTCCTTACCTCTTGAAACATGTGCCTTTGAAACATGGTCTATCTGTATTAATTTATCAAATTCTCTGTTTTCTTTCTTTACTCCTCTGTTGATATAAGGCCTCGTTGTTCCAGCTTCTCTCAGTTGTGTTCATCTCCTGCATGTTGTTGTGTCTCCTCAGGTTTCAGAGCAGGAGATGGATCAGATTATAACTCGATCTACACTCAGGGACAAAATGAACAAAAACAGAATCTCCTCTCACCCTCAAGGTCTGACATCTCTACCTTTGTTTACAGTTTCGTATCATTTTACTGGTTAGCTCTGTCCAATCAGAAATGTCAGCATTATAGTTTAATCAAAGGTATTAAATAAGCTTATTAGGTCGGCTTAGACGTAAGAGTTGAATATTATTCATGTTTGTGGTGTCTGATAACCTGTGTGTAACCTGCAGGTGTGTCCTGTAAGAGTCCCGGCCTGGCGGTGAAGGAGCGACAGGGAGACGGCTCGCCCCTTCTCAGCTGGACCATGAAGAGGTTCCTCGAACCGGCCAGCAGAGTAAGATTTTATTTAATATTAAATATTAAATATTAAACTCATTTGTGTCCCAGGCTAGGGACACATATTAGTATAAGAAAAACACTAATATGTGCATTTTTTAAATTGTACTAAGCATAATATGTGACCTCTAAATAAATACAGTAAAAGATAAATATGTTTCCCTTTTTAGATTTTAAAGCTAAATCTGAAAGAAAAAATGACTTGATGAATCATGAATGATTTGAAGTCATTTTTATTACATATCCTCTTCCTCCATGAATAAAATGAAAAAAACCCTCAAGAATTATAAAGACAACCACGTATGCACAAGATGTCTTCTAACATGACCTCTGTGTTTGATTGGATGTAGTTGGTGATTAGCCGTGTGATTTTGAAAGCACAAAGAAATACACAGCCTCCAATAATTACTTTTATTTGTGAGGCCCCTGGTTAATGTTGGTTCTCTGCGAATGGAGTGAAATTACAGGAGTCAAATAACCTGCAGAACCAGGAGGAAGTGTCTGGTTCAAGAATAACAGGAGAGTTGGTTTATGGTAGAAAAAAAACAAACAGCAGATGACAGGATGAATACTTGAAGCCAGCTGGAGTTTCTGTGTCACCACTTACCACTGATGATCTGTGACACAGACTCAGATAGCGGGACATCATTTACCCTTTTATCCACTTCTTTCATTGGCTATTTCTTTATTTCATCTTTAAATGTAGCTTTCTTTTCAAAAATGGCTTTAAAAACATGTGCTGCTTTTTCTGTTCTCATTTCCTCCAGCAGGGGTCGCTGAGCTCAGAGAGCGAGCTGTCTCAGTACTTCCCTCAGGATGTTTCCACGAACTCGTTCTCCGAGTCCTTGCTGACTGGCTCGACCAGCGATGAGGCCATACACCAGCAGAGCTGCGTTACCTCCATGGATGACAGCTTATCACAGACACATGGTAAACATTCATCTGTGGAAACACCATCAAAGAGTTTCCAATTCGCTTCAATATATCTCTCTTTAAAGTCACTGAAACTTGATCAGATGTCAATCTGACACCCTCCAACAGAACATCTAACTTGAGCACACAGATTATTTTGAATATTTTCATGAATATCAAACAGCAGCACCAGCTGGGACAAGTTTCTTTCGTTGAAAGGCATTTTGAGCAAAACTTTTTGACATTTTAGACTTTATCTATTATTATGTTTGATTTGATTTTTTACTTCTATCTTTATTTTTTAATAATTATTTCCCATCCCCTGTTTTCTTGAGCTGCTGTAATGCACAAATTTCCCCCACAGGGGATCAATAAAGTTTATCTTTATCTTTATCTTTATCTATAAACAGAAAACTTCATATGACTGCACAAAGAATCTGAAAGGTCCAAAGAGGACATTTTTAGTACCAGAAGCATTCTCCTATCCATTTAGAGTGGGATTAATATTAACTAACCACATTTGAGTGGGCTCTGGAGGAAAACAGTCCATTTGGGGAGCAAAAGAGATAATAAGCATTAATAGAATTTAATGGGCTCGTACCGGACAACTATTTAGCATTTTAATAATCTCTATACAAATAAAACTGCACAGTGCAGCTTACTATCATGGACATCCTTTTTAACTTCATTCTCATATCTAAAGTAGGTCAGACTGTAAGCAAATACCAGCCAATGTAGGGGGAAGTGGTGTGTCTGACATCCAATAAGAATATTTGTAATCAAACATTGATGGGCTTTACAGGGTTCTTTTTCCAGAATGTGGGCTCTGTTTTTTGTTTCTGAAACTGTCAAACGTTGTGTCTCAAAGACAGTAATCCTAATTTATTATTCTTTACAGAAGTATATTCTAGGGCAGGAATTTCCATCTCAGATTGAGGCCAAATCCCAATTCCTTCCCTCGGTCAAACCTTTAGTTTTGGAGCGCTAATTGTTTTTCCACCTACCCTCAGAGACAAGAAAACTGTACTATGTACAGTTGTACATAGATATATATGTACATATGTACTATGTACATGTTTTTTGACCTTGTTGATATTGATGTTTTTAATTGCCTGTATCCAGTTACATGTTGTTCTGTATCTACATTAAACTAAGTTCAGTCAGCCATCTCACAGTTGGGTTTAAATGTTTATTGCAGCAGCAGAACATAGTTTGAGTTTGGCATTTAGACTCCGACCTCATCACTCCTCGCAGCTTGTTTCACCTGCTGAAATTTGAGGAGTGATGAGATAATATCTGAAAAGCCCAGTCAGGATGTGGATGCTGGGGTGGTTGTGTTGTTGGTGGTAGGGTTGAAAGTAAGAGTGCAGTACTGGTGCAGGGAAGCGCAGGCAATGACCAAGCAGAGGGAGAGATTGGAAATCTTTCATCTTAAATAAACCACCAAAGCAGGAGGATCAGTTTGTCATGTGTTTGTGGAGAATGAAGCAGGCCATTGTGAAATCACTGTAGCTTGAGTTGCCTGTCTAAACTAGCTCACAGGCCCTCCGTGTTTTTCTACAGATTTAATACATTTGGCATGAATTGTTGTTGGCTTCTTTTCCTTGAATGGATATCATGTTTAATATTAGGCTGCCCAAGTTTGCAAAGATTATTGGGAATTAACTTCTGCCACTCTGTTTGGATATCATATTTCAAAATGCTATTTTTGGAGAACAGCAAAGAGGAAACTATTCCTCAATCTGCAGGAGAAAGGCACACCCTACCAAACATGGGAGTGCAAAAAATCTGAGGGTACCGCCAAGGGGGGAAATCTGATGGGGCCTTAGACGATGTCCAATTCAGAAAAAAGGCCCATGATGTTGAAAGTTTAAATTCTTTAGGACACATTGTTTTATTTGTCTGTTTTTATCTTGAAATGAAAAGTATGTGTTCATATTAAAAGCTTTTAATTTCAGTCACCACACCTGATTTTGACTGTACTGAATTACCTGCGTCTCTTTCTCAGCTTTCACCCCGTCTCTGACACAAGTGGAGAGGGAATCCGTCTACAGCGCATCACAAGACAAGAACGCCGCCCCCTCCCACGCCCATCAGCATGCAGAGGCAGTTTGCCCGCCCATCTCTGTCTCCAGTCCCACCTCGATGCGGAGCCCGCTCCTCCGGCAGCGACGGGTGATGTGCTTCGAGGAGCAGCTTAGTGACGAAGACGATTCTGACAACGCTGGACTCTTCGACAAGGCAACCAAAACCAACTCGGTTAACCTCAGTGGCGCCAGAGAATCCCACAAATCGAAAACTGATTTAGCCATTGTTTCCGCTACGTCTTCGTTAAATGTAGATGGGGACAGTGAGAACGGAGGAGATTATCAGGGAAGCAGCGACGTGGCGTCTCTGCTTCATTGTAGTTTCTCTCAGTGTGAGGAAGCCCTGCCTGGTTCTGAGTCCCCCTTCATGCCTATCCGCTGCCCCTCAGAGCACAGAGCAGGGAGTGCGGGGTCGTCTAATCTGACCATCAACACTGAGAGCGCCGTCAATAAAGATGATGGACAGGTGGAGTCAAAGCGCTCCCCCAAGCTCGAGCACAAAGCAGTAATGCGAGTCAAAAGTATGATGAGCATTGAAGCACCAAACCTGACCCAGCAGCAGAAGTCCAGAGCTGATGAGCCCTCCCCAGGTTCGACCCCCTCCCAGCCCCCGGCCCAGGCTTCTCAGGGTGGGAAAAACACTACTGCTGGGCTGATTCCACATCACCACTATAAGAAGGGAGAAACCAGTGAGCTTGCAGGTGTGTGTACTATCGACACAGTGACTCTGTGGAGGAGAGAGGATGAGTCGTACGGACTGGATCTGGAGATCATGTCGTCCCCTCTGAAGGTTGTCATCACCGGGTTAAAACCTGGAGGAGCAGCAGACAGGGTACGTCTCAATGGTTTCAACCAGTTCAGTCATTTTTTATTTAATGTTGTGCTAAATGACAACACAAGCTTTAACATGGAACATTGCATAATGAGCAGGTCTGATCAGGCTTCATGAACTTATTTACAAGGATCCAGAACTAATCCACCAATGAGCAGGCACCTGGCAAAAGTTACGCAGAAACAACTTCATAAATCATCTTCAAAAACCAATGGGTTGAGACGTCCGTCTTTCATACAGCCTATTACAGAAACCCCTAGCTGAACCACGCTCATTGGTGAACAGACATCTGCTGCGTCTGGATGGACAGAGAAACTGGGATATATACGGAGAAACAAAGGAAAAGAGAGACATGGGTAGAGACAAACAGAAAGAGACAAAGAAAAATAAAAAAGACAATTTAGATATATAGATAACTGTAGCAGTTGAAGTTGGCAGAGCCACTCCAGCAGGCAATCAAAACACTGAATTACACAAACCTGACAGGCAGCTGAGTACAGACACTCTTAGGAAGATAGTAGTATCAGGTCTAAATGTCCTGGGCAAGACAGGGAACCCCAAATTGCTCCCACTGTTACGCCAGCAGCATCTGAATGTGTCTGAGTGGAATTCATAGAACAGATTGGCAGTTGGGCATTTTACGTAGCGTCCTCTGCCGTTAGTGTTTGAATGGGTGAAAGTAAAGTGTAAAAGAAGACTAGAAATGCACTCTTCAAATTCAAGTACATTTACCATGTATCAATGGTACATTAAGCTATAAAGATAAATAGAGTGCCAGGTCCCCCGGCAGTCTAAGCCTATAGCAGCATAACTAGGAGCTGCTCCAAGCCTGAGCCAGCTCTAACTATATGATTTCTCAAAAGGAAAGTTTTAAGCCTACTTCTAAAGGTAGATAGGGAGTCTGCCTCCTGGACCCTGACTGGTAGAAGATTCTAAAGAAGCCTGATGACTGAAGGCTCTACCTCCCATACTACTTTTAGAGACTGTAGGTACCACGAGCAGGCGTGCATTGCATTCTGGGAGGTTTCATATCTGTTGAATGATCTTATGCTGTACCTCTTTAATTTACTGAAAACATATGAGCTTCTTTGATGTGTGATGCTGTTTGTGGCTCAAGGGAAGATGATTCCTTTACACCACAGCTTATTTGTTTCTCTCCTGTTTCATCCCACTTATAGGAATCTGCAGGAAAGCTGTGTCCTGGAGATGAGATTGTAAAAATTGGAGATAAGCTGGTTTGTTCCTCTAGCTACCAGGAAATCTGTGAGCTCATGCTCAATCTTCCAATGACTCTGTCCATAGAAGTGAAGAAACCAGTGTCAGGTAAGGGCGTACATAACACCACTTTTAAGGAAGTATTAAATAGAGCATGGTCTGTGCTCCAATGAACTTCTACTTGAAGTCCTAAATATTGTTTACCTCTCTTTCTGTTCCCAGCTGTAGATCATCTGTCCAGTCTGATCATGTCGTCAGGTAACAGTGATGGAGCCGCCAGACAGAAAGCACCCAGATCTGCTCAGGGGACGTCTGATGAAGAAGCAAAAATGAGTGAAAATTCAGTAACTTCAAACCACATTGCCGAAATAGATGAAGACTTTAAAATCCCCATCACAAATATTGATGATATCTTATCAGTATTGAGCCCCAGCAGTGATAAAAGCACAAACACAAAATTCTCCTATGAGCCTGAATCCTGTTGTTCAGAACAAACCACTGTGACTCCACCTGAGGAAACTGAGAATCAGGATCCATCAAAGTCTGACTCTGACCTAACAGATCTTTCTGTTAGAGGAGAGGGAAAAGACGAAGGTACCATCCTCTCTGTGGAGACAACACAGGAGAAGAGCCCTGCTGCTGGTCCTACATGTATGTACAGCCCAGGAGACGACAGTGATTCAGACAGTGACTCGTCCCCTGACAGCAGCGTGTTGGTCATTAAGTTATCCAACAGCGCACGACGTGAGCCGTCATCAGATGAGGAGGAGGTGGAGCTTTGTTCTTTGGACGTGCAGCAACAGAATTCAAGCCGTAAAACAAACGGGTATTCATCTTTTCACCAAACCACAACTCAAAACACTCACCTGGATCAGACCTGTGAAGTCTCACAGTCGCTCAAAGAGAACTCAGCAACACAATGCTCTCAGGTTTCTTCTGCAGGGCAACAACACCAGACCTCCAGCTGTAGGATACCTGTAACCACTATAGATTCAAACACAGACAGCTCCATAGAACCCTGTGATAAAATGAAAGCATGTCTGAGCGTCTACAGAGGCTCCTCCCCTCCACAAACCAACAGTCTCACTCAGGGTTTTTCTGCAAATATAAAGACAGACTCCTCACTGACCTCAGATTTACCGAAGCATCTGAAAACAGAGACACCTCATTCACCAGCAGAGAAATCAGAGATCTCAGGTTCAGGATCAGAAGCCAGACTGTCGGCTTCAGCGACGAACTCAGAGAAGCTGCTGGAGTGCACAACTAATTCCTTGCTAAAGAAAACTCCTGGGCTGAAACTGTTTGATAAATCTGACGCTCCGGTGAGGGGTAATAACTGTAAAGCTCAGGCTGAAACTCTAATACAGACAAACACTCCCAAACTGAAGGGTCTGAGTATAAAGAGCAAGAGCCAAGAACCTAAGAGGAGTGAAAGTCCTTTAAACACAAGCAACTCAACGAAATCACCGCCAACAGCAACCATGTCCAGCCTTTCTAAGACCAATAACCAGCCTGACACACACAGCAGCCTTGTTTCACCCAGAGTCAGAAAGAGAGTTACGAGCAGCCACGGACCTTCTGAGGGCACATTACATACTGCACAACCGACCAAGGAGAAGGACTCCAAGCTAACATCACCTCCTGCAACTCAGAGGACATTCATCGAGGTCCGTCTGTCTCCGTTATCCTCACACAAAGAAACAAAAGATGCAAAACTCTCAGATAGAAACACAGATTCAACTGCCACAGTGGAGAAAAACAACAGCATGTTCACTAACGCAGCGCTGGGTACACTTTGTTTGACTAAAGAAAGTCATTTCACTACAAGTAACGGCGCCAAACACAGCCCTGAGGTGGAGATGAGTGAGAACATGAAGTCAGGCGTGTCCAGACTTTATATAAAGTCAGAGGAAAGACAAAGCTTCCCCTCTGACTCTGACAAATACAAGCCCTTCTCTGTGCGACATAAAATCAAGTCCTTCGAGAATCTGGCTCACTTTGACAAACCGGTCTCTAGAAGCAGTGACATTCAGTCGTACGCTCTGGCATATCGAGCCTCACTGAACCAAAGGATCGCCGGTTACATGGACTTAGTGAACTCGACCGACTGCCAGACACGACACAGGAGTTTCAGCCCTTATATGGACAACCTGATCACCAGCACACCTCTCATGCTGGGGAAATCTCCATCCAGCATTGCTCTGATAAATCTTGATCTGCCTGATTTAAGCTGTAAAACGTCTCCGCTGTGTGAGACTGAAGGTCAGAAGATGGCTGGGACGCCTCAGGTGCTGCGGAGGAAACACGGGAAACTGGCCCGCAACCGGTTGAGGCAGCTCAGGGCTCTCAGTATGCCGGAGCTGGAAAAGATCTGCACAGAGGACTTCACCAAAGGGACACCTGAGGAGAAGCCTGAGCCCGGAATCAGTGAGCCTGTACCCACAGCGGCGTCAGAGACTGAAAGCCGTCCACCTTCATCCCTGATGAGGACAGAGGTGAACAGGGTGAGCCGGGCTGATCTTAGATCCACTGAAGAGACTCCTCAGAAAACCTCAGAGAGCCACAGAGCAGGCTGGTCTATCAGGTGAGGAGCTCAATTCAAACCTGCTCATTTTAAATAATGATGTGATAAATATTGAATTATCTATTGTGTGTGAGGAAATGACAAATATGTGACTTTTGGACCCTAGTCGTGACTCGTTACAAGGGTTGGTGATGTAGTGTGAAGTCTCCTTTAAAGCACTGCTTATCCAAATTTGCTGATCTTTAAAAGTCTGTACCTGGATCAGGTAGATTTTATTTAGTTTTTCTTTAAGAAACCAGGAGAAAAGGGAGCTGGATTAACTGATCATTGGTAGAAAAATGTAGATTAGCAAATATGAATAATTTTAATCTGCATCATCCCAGAGCTTTAAAGACATCGTACTATACACTTTGTCCACAGGGGGCGCCAAAATCCAAAAGAACTGACATAATTAAAGTTACTTTAAATTAATTATTCAATGTTTGATAATGATACTTTTTGGTGAAATTATCTATTTTATGTTTTGACAACCCTAAAGCTTTGACACTGAAGTAAAACAGCATTTATTTAACCGGGTAATTAACCCATTGAGTTCAAGATCTCTTTAACAAGGGTGACCTGGCCTAGTGTTAAATATATATAAAAACAATGTTTTAATATATGAACTATCATGTTAAAATGTTGTTTTGTTTGACCTTGTAATCTTGTATCAGCCCTCTGCTGGGATCACGATGATCCAGATTTTTTAGATCAAGGTTTTCTCAATCATAATAAAAAGTTTCAACAACACAAACTGGAGGATTTATCAGAATTCAAAATACAGGATTAGATTTTTCTGAATTAAACTGTGTGCTGTCTATTAGAGTCCTGTTTGACTCCAGGGAGTGTGATGAGGATTGATAAAAGTCATCATGGAGGATAAAGTATATAGAATCTCTTCCTTTTTCTCTTTTTGTCTCCAGTTTGAAGGAGCTGTCTGCGTCTCCTGAGAGTCAGAAGCAGCTTCAGACTGTGACGGCGAAATCAGACGTGTCTGCTCTGCTGCAGGAGGTCAAATCTCTCTCAGAGGTAACACCATCCTGCTGATACTTAATGAATTAAATACAGTTCATTTTAAAATGAAACATCTTGTGCAGACGTCATTGTTTCAGCATGAATCATTTTGTCACATTGTGTCTGCGTCAGGCTAACAGTGAAACTCACCTGGTGGTCTTGAATAAAGAAGAAGGAACAGGACTGGGTTTCAGTGTCGCTGGTGGAGTGGACCTCGAGCAGAAAGCAATAACTGTAAGTACAGACTTAGTCTAAATGCTGTTTTTAAAAATCAAACCCTATAAGATTAAATGAAACCTAAATAAAGTGAATGAAAATGTATTTACAAAGCACATTTATACGACCAGGGGGAATTAATAACAGTGTTTGACTTCACTCCTTTTTAGAAAGTCTTCACTCACCGATATATTAAGTTAGGATATATTAAATATCTGCTATATTCATGTTTAAAATGTTGCAGACTGTACCTTTAAAGAGTCATAAAGAAGCTGTTTGTCCAAAATCACAATTTAAAGCACAACATAAGAAAATGTGTTACATTGAAAAGGAAAAAAAAAGATACACAGTCTAATGTAAAGCAGCCCAAATAGTTGATTCCTCTGACAAGAACAGTGGACAATCACAGTTGGATCCGCCCCGTTAATGTTTTCTAGCTTTACAAATGTTGTTTTTGTTCATAAATGATGATGTTTGTGATACTTTATTTATCACAGAGATGTCAGAAGATGGAACAAAAGATAAATGACTGATGTATAAATGTTGTAAATGAAGCTGACGTCCGTTTTGTGTTCAGGTTCATCGGGTGTTCAGCAGAGGAGCAGCCAGCCTGGAAGGGACGATCCAGAGAGGAGACAACATCTTATCCATAAACGGCACCAGCCTGGCAGGAAGAACTCATGGAGAGGCTGTGTCCTGTCTGCATCAGGCCCGGCTGTCCAGTCAGGCGCTAGTGGTGATTCAGAGAGACGGTCAACAGAGACTCGACCTCGCTGAAAAAACACAGAGGACGAGTTCTAACGGGAGGAGATCTTTAGGAGCCGGATCAGGTGAGACTCGCACCTTTCATCTTTGACCATAAAGAGAAACCTGCCAGTGTTGATAACGGGAAGCCAGCACAGATTCTTATACCACGATGGATCTCTGGATTTAAAAATACTAGTATTTTAAAATGCTTTACTCCTTAAAATCAGAAAATTGTTAACTGAAAGGTTATATAACACAATAAAACAATAATATTTGACATTATGTTATTAAAAAATGTACATCTCACTTTTTTTTTCATCAAATTTTACAAAATAAAAACACAAAACATGTTAAATCAAAACAAAGTATTGAACAAATCATTTGGTAGCACTCCACAGTGAGTTTAACTCACTCACTTAACATTTTTAGTTTGTATGGATAGTCTTATTTTTATGAACAGAGTAAAAGTCGTTTTGATCGTTCAACCTGCAGCAGAGATCGATTTGGAGTCAAGATTACGTCAGAGCAGTTGCTCACACATTGTGGTCGCAGAAAAAAGGAAAAAGCAAGTGAAGCGTAAAACAAGGAGAAGCTGCACTTATAGAGATTTAAATTACATCCAGCTGAAAAGGCTGTTGTAGTGAACTCTGTGTAGGACATGGTCATTACGTATCGTATCATGGGGTTGTGGGAAATACCCAGTCCTACCTCTATACCTGTAGATGGTATTTACATAGTTGATCATTATCAGGCGGTTAATGAAATTACTTTTTATATGAAGCTCCTCTACTAGCGAGCATGATCAGGTAAGAGCTGCATGTTATTATTACGTACCAGCTTCATTAGACAGAAGGGGAAAAAAGGAAATACATCCTTAATTAATATCTAATAAAATGTATTTCACAATGCAAATAGTCTTTGATGATTAAATGCAGCTGTTTATTGATTAAGCTGACTAGCATCGCAGAATAAATGACGCATCACTTCATTAAGAAAGGCGGCCACCACAAGAGGGCAGCCCTGAGCGCCCACTAAACAATCAGCCAATTCGTCTATAGACCAACTGAAGACGATTGTAATATGATTTACTGTTTGTGTTAGCTTCAATCAGCTGGACGCACATTGAATGTCTCCATTAGAGTGCAGTATGAACTGCTCATAAATGTGCGAGTGTTGTTTTTTTTTCAGCGCTGGTTGTGGGTCCAGACGGAGCTTTGAAGGTGGAGCTTCATAAGACCTCAGCTGGTCTGGGCTTCAGTCTGGAGGGGGGGAAGTCCTCGAGCCAGGGAGGGGACAGACCTCTGACTGTCAAACGCATCTTTACAGGTAAGCCTTTACAAACTGCTTTTATACATTAACATCTCTATATGTTTAATCCTGACACGTTTTCAGGCCTTTGCTCCTGTAGTCACCTCGTGTTTTGTTTGTAAATCCACATTTTAGCTGAAAGGAAATATCAGGCAAAGGCATAGAAGGCCTTTATCATATAAGCATGATGATTCATATTTGATACACACATTATTGAGAACTCTGCATCTTCAGTGAGATCTTTTTCTTCATGAAAACCTGATGAATAAGCAGATACATGCAGTACACAGATGATCCACCAGGGGGCACAAAGTATTCTCCATAGTACCTTTATACAGCAGCACAACACAAATGGAGTGACATATATGGGATTTTTCATGAATAGTTTGACAATTTTAAAAGAGATTAAGACAGAAAAACAATCAAATTGTTGCTGATACTTCATGAAGGATATTTATTGGATTGAGAAAAATAATTATATTTGGTGACTTTTTTCTCGTAAAATCGTGTTAAATATGTGTCTATAAAATGTAATACAGTAGGTGTTTAAGCTGATTTTGTTTATTAGCATTTTTTCCACTTTATGCATAATGTATTCCATAAAGCGATATTTTCTCTTGTTCATGTTAAAGTTAACTAATTAAAGGCTTAAATGGCATAATTTTATGTATTTAAAGCCTAAACTGAGATTCTTATTTCTGATATTGTGTTTTTAAATGTAGTCTGTTACAAAAAAAAGTAATATATGAGTTATTGGATGTTTGGGTGGGTCACTTGCTCATTGTTTTTTTTCCTAATTAAATTTTCCACAACATGAATGATCAATTTAAAAAAAAAAATACTAAAACAAAGATGTAAACATCAACAAAAGCAGTCGATAAAGTGAATAGTAAATAGACTTGAGCTTGTGTAACACTTTTCTAGTCTTCACCTACACATTCACACACTGATGACAGAGGTTACTATGTGAAGTGACCATCAGTATTAACTTAACCATCCATACCCCTTCACACACCGGAGCTATCTGGGGTTGAGTGGAACATCGACATGTGGCTGCAGGAGCACCTGAGCCACAGCTGAAGCGTCTCAGAGGGGGAACAAAAAGTTTGAACTTCCAGCAGAAAAAAATTATATAATATGAAACATTTTGTATCAGCATGCTTAGAAAAATGAATGCCTGATGTATCAAATATGATTCAGAACAGAACTCATACAAGCAGTGTGTTATTCAATTTAAACATTTTTTTTTTTTTTTTTAAGATTTATTTTGGGCTTTTTGGTACCTTTAATTCAGAGAGAGGACAGTGGATAGAGTCGGAAACCAGGGAGAGAGAGCGGGGAATGACATGTGGAAAGGGGCCACGGGTGGAAGTGAACCCGGGCCTACCGCTTGAGATGAGAGTCTCAACACATGGGACGCGCGCCCTGCCACTGTGCCACCAGCGCGCCCCCAGTTCAAACATTTTGACAATTATTTCATGATGTAGGCCTTAAAGCTGATGACTTCCCTTCTCTCCAACAGGGGGCGCTGCTGAGCTGTCCAGGGTTATTGAAGTTGGTGATGAAGTCTTGTCCGTTAACGGCTGCTCTCTGGAGGGCCTCATGCACCACGATGCCTGGAAGATCATTAAAGCCTCTGATGAAGGGCCGAACCAGCTCCTCATCCGCAAACCCAGAACCTGACCATGGACCGTCTAATAACATATATACAGTCTGTATATATTATTACTGTATAAGTAAATATGCAGCCTGTTAAATAGTATACAGTCTGTATAACGACGACGACACAGAGAGAGAGCGGAGACAATCAGGAGACATATGGAGAAGCTATTTCCCTTTTATTGACACATCTCCTGATGGACTTTGTTTGAGATTGTGTCCTGTTTCATGTTTTTACTCATAAAAAGGTCAAATTGGATGGACCACTAACTGATGTGATGTGCAATGCTGAATCATGGTTTACTTCAGATGGGACGTGCAGTTTGTTTACAACAGATTCACTTTGAAAACTTAAAAAAAAAAAAAGAAAAAAGAAAAAAAAATTTTTTGGATGTCAGTTGTTTCTTTTTTTAAATAAAGTCAGTATGTGAAATGACCTTCGGCTGTTTGTGGTGTGACTTTTCCTTATTTTTTATTGTTAATAACTTTAAGCATCAGCGTCTTATCCCCATGTTTTACATTTAAAAAGCAGGAACAAGTGATCAGGTAAAACACTATTCTCTTTGTTTTCATACTTCGCTGTTAAAACATATTCAAACTGTTGTCATAGCGAGATATTTTTAACGAGTAGATTATTTTACAGCTCTCTATGGGAAAACGCAGTTCCTAGTACCCATCCTGGTTCAGCAAATCTCCGATCTCCAGTGTGTCAGCAGCTCTGTGTAAGTTCAATCGCAGCCTGGTTTGAACTTACTTCTAATTAAGGATGGAGTTTACGCGCTGATAAATATGTAAGGTGTTTCATTTGCTGAGAAAGTTCAAACGCAGGCAAAAGTCACACCTTAACACTTACATCTAGCTCCTCGTAAGTGTAAAGTCCTCTGGTTGTCATGGTGATAGTTGTGAATGGCGGGATAACTTGGAGGATGAGCTGCAGAGGTTTTTACCGTCTGTTTGGTGTCAATGTATCAGTGAAAATCAGTCAAAATTAAAAGAAGAAAAACTTTCAGAGTATAGCGAGTGTAAAGAACTAACTGTGTTGAAATGTCTTTGATCATATCCCCCAAATAGTATGAAGCAATAATAAATAGAGCAAATATAGAGTGCAAAGGCAGGGTTGGTAATTTTCTACAGATAGACTTTTTAAGATTTTGATTGAAATTGTCTTTAGGTCTTGATAGAAATTAATAACTCGTTCTCTGAAAAAGGAACCAAGAAAATTTGTCATCTGTAGCAGTTGTGAGCCTGTAAAAACTTTGACAAATGTCTGCGACGAGGTATCAATCTGATGAACCAATCACGCCTCCCTGACTCCCTGCTCCTTCCATGCATGCACGAGCCCACCCTCAAACTTTATACTGCGAGTTTACTCACCGCTTTACTCAATCTGAACAGCTTATTCTAAATCAGGCCGAGCAGTAGAGTGAGATGTGTGCTGCAGGATGTCGTCTCATGTCCTGAATATTTAATGCAATGGTCAGACTGCGTTCCCACACATTAAACTAAAGATGTCATTACATTACAAAGTGTTGACTTCAGCCTAATGGCCATAATTATCTCCATGTTCTGCTCACTCCTGTAATTTGGACATTCAGATAGCACAGTATAATACTTTACCTTTTCATGTAATGATTTAATGATTTTAAGTGTAATGAGAGCTGTGGAAAACATCCACATGTACGTCAACAAATTCCAGCTGCAGCTGCCAGCAGACAGAAAGTGTCCTCTCAGAGACTCGGAGAGCTACGTGACTCATTAATGACACTCGTTAATGAGCCGAGAGACACTTAAGGTCACTTTTTCAGCATGGGAGCCGAGCATTGAGTTCGGTTTGCTTCAGAGTTAAACAGAAGTCAGTACTTTTGTCAGATTGAACCTCTGTGGTCTGTAGAAACTTTTCTGTTTGGTTTTCACCATGAAGTCAGAAACATATGACCGATAATAGACTTACAAAGAGAATTGTAACTTCATGTTCACTTCCTCTCCTCAGACACATTTCCACTGTTAATTTGTATTTTTATGTGATGCACTCAGACTTTTTTCAGATCCTGACACTTCAATCAGCCTTACAGTCACTTCATTCCCCTTATCTGACTTTTGACCCCAATCTTTCTGCATTCATAGAAGTTAAATAAATATGGACGGAGCAACCAGCGTTCATTTTACGGGCTGTTTTAGGTTTACTGTAGTCATAACCTTTTGACAAAATGCTCATTGGTTTTAGTTACATTTTAGTCATTTTTATTCTTTAAAGTTTTAGTCTAGTTTTAGTCGACGACAACACAAAACACTTGGCTGCAGTACAGGTCAGAAACCACACTTCCCCGCGCATGTCATGGGAGTATTTTGGGTTTAGAAGGAGGAACGGAAGGAGAAGGCGACAGAGAATGAGACGGAGACGCGTTGTCCATTTTAATTTTGTGCAGGGGTTGGACTCCAATTCTGATAATTAAAAACAAGGACTGGTATTTTTGTTGCAGTGGAATCAAATTGATATAGTTTGATTCTGTTTTAACGACTTTGGGTGTAGACTTTAATAAAGAAACAAACCACTAAGGCAGGAAGATGAGACCTTAACGCCAAGTTAAAGAAACAGTAGGTTCCATTTTATGTAAGGATTCTTCCAGACCTGAAAAATAAATAAAGTATAGGCCTATGATATCTGCTTTTAATGTGTGCAGACAATGTGTGCAGGGCAATGCTGTCGCAAATGTGTTTTTCCACTTCTTCTTTATCCATATACAAGATGGAAAACACTTCAATCAGAATTTGTGAATGCATCATTTAAAATGTATTTTTCCTGCTGTTATGTAAACTCTTCAGGCTCTACGTTGGCTCTTCTTCTGTGGTTTTCTCCCTAAAGACAAAGTTTTTAATTGCAGGTATAAATTAAAACATGTTTTTATCAAAGCGGTATGACAAAGTGAAACCATGATTCTGATGTTTTCTCTGTTCATGCAGTTTTACCTCCTTATATTACTCAGGAATATCTTTGACTTGACAATCTAATGGTGATTACTGAGTTTCATTCTAGCTCTCTCAAAATATCTTCCTAAAAAGGTCTATATTGCTCTAAAAGTCTCAGGCCCCCAAAAAGGACAACACCTTCTTTTTAAGGTCAAAACAGTAATTACTTGGAGTTAAATTATCTTGACCCTGGCTGTAGCCCCGGTGGAGGTGCATCAAGAATAAATGCATCTTTGTAAACACACAGCAGGAAAGTTTTGTATTTCGTTGGTTGTTGGAGGCTAACAGCGTCATAATTCCCACCACCTCTGCTCACTCTCAGTGTGTTGAAGAGGCTCATTGTCACACATGCAGCAGTGTAGCTTTAAGAAGGAGGTGGGCAGCGCTCCGATGACGCAGGAATAATCCTGAAAAGATGCTTCAAAACTCCAGAGCAGAGCCAGCGTGTGTGGTGCTGCTGGCTGAGCTGGAGGATCGAGCCTGACGCGGTCCACAGAGGAGGAAACACTCCAAGGAACAGCAGGAGGTGCTCTGTCTGCGGGATAAAAAAACACAAACACAAATACACGCACTCTGATAGAAACAGACAAACTAAGTTGGTGAGATTTAATCTCTTTAACACGTCTCACAGCAGAGCTTGTGTTTGCAGCTGAATGCGCGCTGCAGAGTGGAGCCAACTCCGGGAAACAAACCTCTGAGGAACATCTCCACCATGCCGTGTTTCAGCGCGCTCTGTGTCTGCTTTGTGCTGCTCCTGAGCCCGGCTCTGACACAAACCTTCTCCGAGGACATCCAGGTTCTGGTGTTCCTGCCTCAGAATAACTCGTACCTTTTCTCAAACGCGCGAGTCGCGCCAGCGATCCGTTACGCACAACAGAAACTGGAGACGGCCGGAGGAGCGTACTCCGGCTTCCACTTCACCATCCAGTTTGAGGACTCGGACTGTTTGAACGACGCTCTGTACCGGCTGGTGGACAGGTCGTGCGGGCTGAAGCCCGACCTGATCCTGGGGCCAGTGTGTGAGTACGAGGCGGCTGCGGTGGTGAGGCTGGCGTCCCACTGGAACATCCCGGTGATCTCTGCAGGTGCTCTGGCCGCAGGCTTCAGCAACAAGAACTCCGAGTTCTCCCACCTGACCCGCATCGCGCCGTCCTACGTGAAGATGGCAGAGACGTTCAGCGCGATGTTTGAGCACTTCACCTGGAGGAGCGCGCTGCTCGTGTACCAGGAAGACAAGGAGGAGAGGAACTGTTACTTCACCGTGGAGGGGATCTATCACCTGATGGTGGACTTACACATTAAAACCTATTCTTTCTCCAGAGACGAGCGAATGGACACCGAGGACATCCTGCACAACATCGAGCAGACAGAAGGTAAACATGTTTTTTTTTTAATCTTTCCTTTAAGTTTCTAATGAATGAAAACATTAAAAAAAACTATTTTTTTTAAGTCACATGTAAGCTATGTAATGTTTATTGATTGGACGTCACATGTCGGTCCTGTCACTTTAATCAAATCTGAAAATTAATCAAACAAATGTAATCATTTCATGGGCGTCATAGAGGGAGAGAAGTGGGACTGACTAGGAAGGGATTTGTTTCTCTCTAACTGTCATGGGACAGGTGAAATTTGCCCAATAAATGAACATGATGATTAAAGGTGCACTATGTAGATTTGGTAGTGAAATTTGAAAGTTGGAGAAGTGAAACTTTTCTATGCTTTATTTTCTGAACTTAATTCACAAACTTTATTCAAAGAAGAAAATGGGTCCCTGAACACTGTTTGGAGCTAAAAAAGCGACCAGGAGAGTTACGGTTTCACTGTTGCAGACCCACCACTATAACTTCTTGCGTAGCATTTTATCTACAAACAGTAACAGGGACCAAATTTTCCTCTGAGGACAGTTTGTGTATAGAGTTATGAACATATACCACATAATCTGTACACTTCTCCAACTTTCACATTTCTCTAACAAAACTACAAAGTGCACCTTTAACTCTGTCTTAACTCTTTAAAGAAAATAAATATAAACATTTAGATGCTTAAAAATGATTAAAATTCCCAAAAAGATGAATACATCACAGTTTAAATCATTGTTATGTTTTAATTTAAAGTGCAAAAAAACATTTTCAAATGACTAACATAGTGTTACTAATTCAAAGTAGTCACAATACCTGAATTTAAAACTTTGATAAACAGTAGATACATGTTTCAATTGGAGCATCTCCAGGGGTCCATGAAAAGATGTCACATTCGGCCCCTCCACCACAGCCTCAGCCAACCCTGAGATATTACTATGACCACACCTCCGTTATGTAAATGACCTATTAAAACATTTTCCTCCTTTAATACTCATCAATGTCACACATTGTATAAGGAGACTATCTCTCTTATGGGTCGATGCTTTGAAAAAAAAACTACGTCTATTTCTTATGAAAGATGAGAAA